TCCGCAGTTAAGGTCACTTGTTAATCTGGCAGAGGACGCAGGTTCTGTTCTCCATACCCACATGGAGGCTCACAACCACCTTTAGCTCTGGTTCCGGGGGCATCTGATACCGTCTTCTGATCCCAGAAGGTACCAGGCATACATGTGGCACACATATAAACATGCAGTCAAAACACTCGTACACGTTACGTAAAATTCAAAAGAAAGGAGGGGAGGGGAGGGGAAGAAGAGGGGAGGGAAGCGCTCTGAAGTGGGAGTGCAGGCTGGACCGGGCACCTAACCCTCAGCAGCAGAAGGCTGTCTCTACAGGGGGCTTCCGGTTTCCCTCTGTTAGGCCAAGTGCCTCCTCCACCTGCTCTGTCCCTCGACTCCCACCAGGTATCTGGCAGCCAACTGAAGCAGGAGTTTTGGTCAGAAGTGAAGGGCTTCAGAGAAGGAGGGGAACTGGGGTCTAAGTCACCAAGGCAAATTAAAAGCCAGGAGATTCACTGTGTCTGAGTAGAGGCGCTGTCTTCGGGCGCTCTGACGCGCCAGCCTGCTAGGGAGATTTTTTTTTTCCAGTGAAGGGTCTGAGGGAGGTGTAAGTCCCTGTTCCTGCCTGGGCACCTATAGGTCCCCTGCCTCTCCCCTCCCCTCGCCTCCCCTCCTGGGCTTGGGCTGTTAGCACCCACCTCCCTGTGCCCTGACAAAGGTTTTCAAGGTTCCCACTCCTTGTTTCCCATCAGGACCTTCGGAAGCACCGCGTGGGCTGCCCTTGTCCTCTGCTGACCAGCGTTACTGTCCTCACGGGTCATTGGTTGCTATCTGTGTGCGGGCACAGAAGCCGCAGAGACCAGGGCATGACCACCACCCTGGGGTGACCTAGAACCATGCACCAGGGCTGCCAGCGCTCTGAGACACAGAGGACACCCCCAGCCCACCATGCTGTCCTGTCTTATCTTTCCGGGCTTTACATGAATCCCCCTAACGCCCACCATTTCCTTCAACCATAAAATTGTAAATGTTAAAAATGAGAGGAAAAAAAAAAAGAGGAAAAAGAGGCTGGCTTATTTTCCCCTTCCTTCTTACCCAGAGACTCCTGGATGTTATTTTTTTTTTTAAAAAAAAAACCCTCCCGCCGCACTTTCAGCCTTGAAAGCATTTTTAGTCATTAATTAGTAATCCGCATTAATATGCAGATAGAATTAATCTGTTTCAGGCAAAAGTTTGTCTGGAGGAAACAAAGTAGCTGGCGAGGTAGGTCCCTCCACCTGCGCCTTCCCGCTCTCCCCTGCACCTCTCCCCGATCATTATTAGCAGGATTATCACTGATTAGGAAGCCCTGGCGGGGCTCAGGAATGTGCACAGCCCCAGGGGCACTCGGGGAGGACATGTCCCGCTCTGAGGACTGCTGCACGGAGGCCATCGGGGAATCATTAGCTCTTAGAGCTGAAATTGGCTTCATAAATACTCATCTCCAGGAAGTGGTTTCTGTGCCTGTTTGTATTTCAGCTGAATTCCTCCTTGGCTCCGTTATTGTCTGAGGAGGTTGGTTTTTTGTCTCCAGAGGGGGGAAAAAAAGTGTATTCTCTGTAATATGACTGTTGATTGCTCTCTTACTGTGCGTGCACCAGGTACCCAGTGAGCTGTGGGTTCGATGCACACACACCTCGGGAGCGAAGAAGCTGTTCTTTTTCTTCCCGGTGCCCATGAGGAAGTTGGGGCACCGTGAAGGGAAATCTGGAGGCTGGCAAAGGGCAGAGCTGGTGTGTGAAGCCTTTGTTGTTTGGTTTTGTTGTTTTTCAGGAGGTCTTTCACTGTGCAGACCAGGCTAGCCTGAAACTCAAGACGATCCTCCTGCCTCCTCTCCCCGGCGCCCCGCCGCCCCACCAGACAGGGATGACAGGCTTGTACCACCGTACCCTGCTGGGGGGTGAGCTCCAAGTTTTCTGTGTCCTGGCACTCTCGTGTGGGCAAGAGTCCCCTGACTGCCCCTGCTGGGAGACACCATCTTTTCCCCAGCTTGCAGTGAGGGACCCCTGCAGCTGAGAGGGGTCGGCCTGCTTGGCCTGGGCAGGAAGCTCCCCGTGTCCCCTGCTTAGGAGCCTTGCTGAGGTTATAGATGTGAGGGCCCTGTGCTTAGGGAGCTCCAGTTCTCCTAGGGAGGAAACCTTGAGTTGTGGGCAGCCCGTGGACTGGCAGCTTCTGTTTATGACCTCATTTGTGTTTTAATAAGCAGCCACTACACGCCAGGCTTTGTGACATCTGAGGGTGACATCCGTGACGCCTGTCCTTCGTTGGTGAGATTGTTCGTGAGCCCTGTTAGAACAGCCGAGAAAACCCGGAGCTCATAGAAGACTGAAATGTTGAAGTAGAGCCACTTAGGACATGGAGTGTCTGTCCAAACCAGAGGCTCCCACTCCATTTCCCTTATTTCCCTTGTGGTACTGAGGCCCCCCCCCCCCCCCCCCCCGTCGCGTGTGTGTGTGTGTGTGTGTGTGTGTGTGTGTGTGAGAGAGAGAGAGAGAGAGAGAGAGAGAGAGAGAGAGAGAAGAGAGAGAGAGAGAGAGTAAGCTTGCACTTGCAATACACCAGGTACAGAACAAGGCCAGTGAGGGACGCATGCCTTTCCTCATGGGTATACATTATGACAGACTGACAGATACAAGATAAACCTCAGATGTGACTACCAGACACTTTCCCGGTGACCTTGGAAAAGTCCCTTCTCCGAGCCCCAGTGTTCTCACCTACAAAGGGTCTTGATAAGGACTGGAAGAGGGGAGGCATGTGGTGGCTGGTGGATCCAGTAAGCAGCCGTACAAGGAGGAGTGAGTGACGTCTCATCGCAGTGGTGTATTCTCAGAAAGAGCCAGCCCGACAGCTCCATAGGCCTTTCTGTCTGTCACTCTTAGGTGATAGACAGTGAGGAGTTTAGATGTTAAGGATGTGGGTCGTTTCTGTTGTTTCCAGGGTCCTAGTTGGAGGAGTAAGAGCCCCTCTTGTACCCAAAAGGCGTGGACTTACCTGTTGGCTGAAAACAACCATTCTGTCCTGTGAGTGTGGATGGAGGGTGTGAGTCCATTTCTCAGATAAGGAAGGCAACTCAAGGTCAGCTATGTCCAGAGCTACCAAACCAGTGCCAGCATGCTCCTGTCCCCCTGGAACTCCACAGGGACCGGAGGTTGAGGCCCTCTTGGCCACTTCCTGGTTATAAGACCGAGGCAGGGGATAACAGAGCCTCACATGTCCCCATCTGTGATCTGAGGGAAATATCTGCCTGGCAGGGCTGTGGAAATAGTGCAAAGCAGTACTCGGGATGCTTAGTGCTGGTGTGCTCAGCCAGCATGAGAGACAGTGCACAGGGCCGCCTGACCCAGCTTTGGGCCATAGAGACAGGACGTGTTCTTACCAGTTGAGTGTGGCTTCTCTGGGAGGCCCCACCCCAGCTGGTTCTGAAGAGTATGGGTTTGAGGTTTGGGAGTTCCTAAGGCGCTGGGCCTGAGAGCCCCTGAGATGTGTGAGACTCAACCAAAGACAGAGTGGGGCATCGGAGGACCTGGGGTAAGAATTTCTTGTTGTATCTTCCAGTCGCAGTAAAAGTTCACTGTAGGAAGCTGACGGAATGCAAGAGACGCAAGAGCGAACTCAGTGGCTGTGACAGTCACTGCTCAGGCAGCAGCTGAAAGAGGGCGAGAGGGTGGAGCCCTCGGGGGTCTGGGGCGTGCAGTTCCTATATTGCAGGGTTATCATAGGTCACAGGAGGACCATGCTCTTTTCACTCTGCTGGTGTCATGGCGAAGGGTGGGCATCACGCGGTGTTTCATTCAGCCTCTGCCACTTTCCAGCCACGTGGTTAGGTCTGTCCCTCAGTTACGGCCCTCTGCTCCTGTTTGCCCCACCTACCTGTGGGCTTGTTATACGGCTGGTTCCTGCCCCTACCCCAGGGTGAGCCCACAGCTGACTGAGGGCACAGTCTGCAACTTGCATGCCTAACCTAGTTTCTGGTGCTGTGTTGTGAGCCATGCCGCCGTCCTGTTCTGTCTGTCTTCCCCCTGGAGTACGTGGGCTCTAGGCCAGCTGGCCGGCACATCACCCAACACCAGAGGCTCCTGAAGCCAAAACTGCAAGCGTGCCACGGAAGGGGTGGCATTTTGAACAGCCAAGAGGGTAGACCCCCAGCCTGTCCCTTGATCCTGGCCCCCATTCCTGATCCCTCTGACAGCTCTGTCCCTGTGTGGTCTTCAGGATGTAGGTCAGCGAGGGCCTGACCTTCCAGCTCTGGTCAGGCCAAGGCGCCTGTCTGAAGCAGTTGATGGGCCGCAGGCCCCATGGCAGGCTCACACACATCCCGAATCCCTGGTGCTCGGGATAGTGAGAGTCACAATGCCCAAGGAGGTGAAGCCAGACAGCCTTTCCTTCTGGCTTGCAGAAGCCACAAAGGGCTTCTCTTGCTACCCTGCAGGTCACCCTTGGCCTTCAGGAGCACGTGAGAGACTATCTTTCTTTTTCTTTTTTTAAATTATTTTTTACTTTATTTATTCATTTATTCATTCATTCATTCATTCATTCATTCATTCATTTATTTATTTATTTATTTATTTATTTATTTATTTATTTTATTTGTGCATTAATGTTTTCCCTGCATGTTTGTCTATGTGAGGGTGTCGGATCCCTGGGACCTGGAGTTACAGACACTTGTGAGCTGCCATGTGGGAGCTGGGAAATGAACCCCGGTCCTTTGGAAGAGCAGCCAATGCTCTTAACCCGCTGAGCCATCTCTCCAGTCTCAGGAATGTCTTTCTTGTACACACACACACACACACACACACACACACACACACACACACACCCATACACCCATGTGAACAGCATTGCTTTCCTGGAACCCCAAGCATAGGATCCCGTGAAGAGAGTCCAGGGAGACAAATGGAGATTTCATGAAATCAATCTTGCTCACCTGGTGGTCTCTGCAGGCTACTGTTAAATTGCATTTTCTTTTCATTTTTCTCTCCCTTCCCTGGGATTAGCTCCCCTCAGAGCCTGACACCCGTTATATTTGAGTGATTAAATGGTGCAGTTGAGGCAGCTGTGGGAACCCCGTGTTCATCTGTAGAACCAGGAGACCGGTGGGGTGACCCTAGAGTCATGTGTCTTCTGGACCTGAGGGTGTAGGGACTGTTTCGATGTGGTTTTATTTCCTGGAGTATCACTTCTAAGTGCTTGGTAGGTCTTTAGATTATTTCCCCTAGAAACTCCATGCATGGTTTTGGCTGCTTGTAGCTGTAATTAATGGGAGGCACAGCTCATTCAAATGATAAGGAGATTTATGACTTCGCCGAAGAACCCGGCTGAAGGGTGACTGTGGAGTGAATTAATTCAGTGGCTCCGTCAGTATCCTCTGATAGTCATTCTCCCGTTGTCTTTGGCTCCACCATACTGGGCCTGTTCTCCCCAGGGTAGATTTCCTCACTGTGCCAAGATGAGGGCTACAGCTTCAGAACTCATGTAGATACGGAACCCTGCAGGATGGGTAACTGCAGAGGTCTGTTAGGGAAAAGGGAAGGATTGGAGTGAGACGTGACCCCTGGGGTGAGGATCCCAGCGCCAGTCCACAGTCAGACACACTGACCTTTTTTTCTTTGGCCTGAGAACAGACATCTTGTCCTGACAGGATGAGAACCCTTACACAGAGAACCCTCAACCAACACTTCCTAGATGTATTTCCTTCTGGTCTCTGCAAGTGACCCCCCCCCCCCCCCCCCCCCCCCCCGTGTCAGACTCCTGGCTGTTCTCAGAGCGAGCCACACCCCATTTCTACCTCCTTGCCTTGCTTGCGCTGTGACCTGTGTCTGGAATACCCCTGTTCCAGGGTGCCTCGCTCTCAGCCTAAGATGTACCAAGTCACAAGATTTAATTCAGATTCATACCCCAGTGGGTTTTTGGTCATGTGTGCTTTTAAGTGCACGTCTCCTCTACTCTTTTCCATCTCCAAAGGTGATGCTCCCACCACCCCCACCCTCCACGATATCCGTGCCTTGTGGTTTGGCCTGGCAAGCATCCCACGCTGGCCTTTGCTTGCTGCATGCTGACGGCTCATGGTCCAGTGGTCCCGGCTTCTCCTTATTTTCTGGTGCAAAGACCTTACCAGATTGCAGTTGGTCCCTGTGGCAAGAACCCCGGATGGTGGCTCTCTGCCTCCTCATCAGGAGGCTCACCGTGTCTCCTGGTGTCTTCTCTGTCCATCTCTGGGGCTCTCCAGGCTTGGTGACACTACCCCGGATTCTTTGAGGGTGCCGTGGGTCCCTGCCATGTCATGATACCTGCACTCAGCCCGTGCTTTTTCTGCCTCAGACTGGGCATCAGCTATTTCTCTGAGAATCTGCCTGGCTTCTTCCAATGGAAAAATGGGATTTTAAGACCACACACTGGGTACCGGGGATACTTTTTGTTCCTGTGCACACTCTTGACTTCTTCGGGGGGCAGGGGGACCCCTGGGAGGGAGGGACTATAAATGCAGTTCTCTTCACATGTGAAGATAGACAGTCACATGAGTCCTAACATATGTGTTTAACTGAAGCTGAAGATTCTGTGACCTTTTCTTTCTCTGTCTCTACGCACCTCTTCAGCACATGGAGAACCGTAGTTTCCTCATCTTACCCTGGGCAATAACCCTGCCAGTGTCATGATGGCAGCCTTACGGTAACCACGACAGGACTGGAAAGTGCTGGGACCCCTTCTCGCGCCTCCTGCCCTACTTTGTGTGTTTGTGGGTGCTGTGTGTCTGCCGCTCTTCCCTGTCCCTTTTGTATTTAGTCCCGGGGCAGCAGCGTAATGGGCGTAATGTTGCTGTATGTCTGTGTCTCTGTAGGTGGCTCAGCTTGCTGAGGCTCCTTCTAGGAGATTCTCTGATGGCCTCCTGGGAGCGGTATTCCTTACATTCTTCAGTGTTGATAACGGTTTTGTCCTTGGACGCTGAAGGCCGGTGTCGCTGGACAAACACTTCCAGCCTCTCGTCTCCTTTGCCTTGAGCATATCGATCATGGGAGCTCGGTTCCTTCTGCAGAAATGCAGTGTGTCAGGGGCTAAGGCAGATCTCTCACCTGTTCCTGATCCCTCGAGGTCATGCAGGCTGCAGTCCTCCCCTGGCCTGCAGCCCACTCCCCACCTGCTTCTGTCACCTCTGCTAGGACTCCGCTCTCAGGACAGAGCCACTGTGTCGCCCCTCACTTCCTGCTTCTTCCCATGTCCCCTGCTTTCTCCACTTGTGTCCGGGCTCATGGGGAGCCTTGGTGGCTCATCCTGTTGTGGGCACTGTTTTCGTGGTTGGGCCGTGTGGTAGCCTTGCATGTTTTTCTGAAATCCCAACAAACGGGAAAACACACACACACACACACACACACACACACACACACAAACAGGCTTTGTTGCTTCCTTGCCTGTCCAATCCGTGGCCCATGAGGAGAGTGCTGAGGGGAGCTATGAACTGCCCAGCACAAGACTGAAAAGTTAAGTGATTTTTTTTTTTAACTCCATCGGGAGGTTTTCCAGTGTGAACTTTGGAGGTGACAACTCCATTGTGTCATAGTGTGAAAAGGTTGAGCCCCCCTGCCAGTGGGTCATGCATACGTCCTTTGACACACAGGCTTTCTTTCACACCCCTCTTTCTTCCCATCTCTCCCCTCCTCTCCATCCCCCTCCCTTTCTTCTGGCCTTGTTCGGGTTTGATTCACACGCTGTCGTCACTGCACATCTCAGTGTCTGGGAGAGCACAGTTCTGAGGCTATCGCCCAGGAAGCCGAGTGTCTCACTAACCCAGTGGCTTTGCTTCGGTCGTGGGGAGGGTAGCAGGAAGGACCCTGGCAACGGCCGCCGCTGCCAAGCTTGCACACCTCTGCCTTGCTGATGGGCCGACTTCAGGCCAGTTGGCCCCGTGAGACTGCTGCCCGTGAGGAAGAGGGCTGGCTGGGTTAGACAGCCAGCCTCCAGCCTTGAGGTACAGTTGTCACCTGCTGCTTCAGGGACCCAGGGTCGGCCCTGCCATCTGTGCTGTCTGCTCAGGAAAATGGCGCCCTTTGTGCGTTTTCAAGCATGGGTCCAGTGACCATGGCTGTCTTCCTGGTGTTTCTTGTTTTGTTTTTAAGGTGTGACGTCACTTGCAAACGTAGAACTCTTCTTTAAGATACTGAAGCCAAAGCGGGCAAGGCTGGGCCAGTGCTGCCCCGATGCTCCTGGGATCCCAAGGCTCCTGGGTATCATTTGTCTCTTCCTTGAAGGGGCCTTCTACCCCTTCAAGGCAGCAGGTAGATTCCAGCAGCTCTAGACTTGGTTTCTCCAGCTCAGCTTGCCCCACACAGAGGGCTGCCCTCCTGCTGCTTGTGGCCAGTCACAGGCCACCTCAGCACCCTCTTCCTGTCTTGCACTTTACCCATACACCCCCTCAAGTGGTAGTGGTGGAGGTGGTGGTGGGATCCCTTACTCTGGAATGGAATGAGGAAGCTCAGAAATGAATGGCCCAAAGAAACCTTTTCCCCAAGTTCAGGATACAGGCCCCAGAAAAGGGCCAGATGAAGGCTGGGTATATAGTCCCCTGCCTTTATATTTAAAATAACAGATACTTTAATATTCAGTAAGTACCACAAAGGCCCAGAAGCACATTTCAAGGATCCTGGGTTTTTGCTAAAGGAGATAGATAGGGAATTTTAATGTCACATAAAGGGCTGCAGATGTAGCTCAGTTGGTAGAATGCTTACCTATCATGGCAATAAGCCCTGGATTCAATCCCCAGCACCGTGAGAACAGCCATGCATGCCTCCAAGTCCTAAGGCTTAAGGAGGCAGAGGCAGAAGGATCTGAAGTTCAAGATCACCTCACATAGAGAGTTCTGAGGCCAGCCTAGAACAAAAATAAAAATAAACATTCAAAGTACAAAGAAGCAGGTTACCTTTTGTCAACAGCTTAGGTGGTCTCTAAAGATGAAAGGCCATTTGGGAGTTTAGCACACTCACACTTTTCACGATAGAGAAGGAAAGGGCAGCTTTATTGCCCATGTGTGACGAACGCATGTGCACACCAGCCTCCTGAGGTCTTCACACAGCATCCTAGAAAAGCAAAGTTGCTCTTACCTGCTGTCCTTAGGGAGCAATGGCTCCTGCGTGAGGGGTTTTATCGATTTGTTTGTGCTTTCAAGGTTTGACACTGTTAAAAAAAACCTTCCTTAAAGCACTTCTTCACACTAACAATATGCTGATCCGATGAACACAAATGAAGGGTTTTCCACATCACTTGCCTCCGATTTAGAGAAGCCAGGCTGAGTGCCAGCAGGTGTGAGTGTCTACAGGCAAAATCAGACTTCTTCCCCAGACCTGAGCTGGAAGAGACCCATGCTTTTCACACGAGGTAAACACGCTTGTGTTGTGTAAAACTCTATAGATGAAACCTGAGAGAGACAGGGTCTCACATTATATAGCTCAGGCTGCTCTGGAACACAGCCTGTAGCCCAGGCTAGCCTCAAACTGTGGCAAGTCATCTGCCTCCACCTCCCCAGTGCTGGGATTACAGGCATGATCCTCCATGCCTAGCTCACCAGTAGCTAAGCCTTCACGCCAGGAAACATTTGGATTTTGCCAGAAGAAGCCAGAAATCAGGCCTTCCAAATGAACACATTTAGATTCTGCTACATAAATCAGTCAACTTTTCCTGTGGCGGTCAATCCAAGGTCACGTGACTTGTCCAGTGTAGACTCCCTGGGGTGTTAGTCTTTGGGGCTTTGGCCAGCAGATAAATGGGATGTCAACTTAACTGCTCACCATTCCAACTCATGGCCCTTGTCACTTAAGAGGAAGTGGGTTGCCTGTACCTTCTTGGCTCACTGTCAAGAGTCCATTTCTTGCTCTTCTGGCGTCTCCAGGCAGACATAGGAATTATGGTCTGCTGCTGACGACCATTCAGAACTTGATCCTGAAATGGGATGGCTAGTGAAATTAACCTCAGCAGAAGTACAGTTGTTTTTCTCAAAAAAAAAAAAAAAAAAAAATGCTGTACTTCTTAGATGTTATTGTTTTGCAGGAACTTTTTTACCTTCATCTTGGAATAATTATAGATTTCTCCACTCCCCCCAAAAATATGCAGAAATGAACCTATGCTCTGGAATGCTCCTTGCAGACCATACATAGCTCTGGCTTGTGGCTTTGGCTTCCGATGGTTATGATTTTTACACAAGTTATAAAGCCCTGTGCACTCAAAATACCCTGCAGGATGGTTTTCTTTCAAACTGAAAGGAGCCACGTTAGGCTTGACATCAACAACACGGAGTCTGCTTCTAACCCATCAGCAAGCGTGTATTGAGTACTTTCTGTGTATGGTCTCCACATTGTCTACGGAACATGAAATCCAGCCAACGTAACTGCTGCCCATCAGACCTGCGTCTTTCCCCCTTACCACAGAGAGGGTTTTGTATCCAGACCCAAGGAGCTACTGTGGAGACGGCAAACAAACAGAAAATGTGCCCTTTGGGGCGATATATCAGAGGATCTGTGGGGACTTCCGGGAACATGCAGAGGTCACTTTAGATTAGCCGGCCTTCTGCCACGACTTCAGGAAGTTATTTCCCTTTGAGTTCCTCTCGTCTGAGGTTTCCCTTTCTGAGATACAAAATGGAAAGTTCCAGTTCATTGGTTTCACCTGACTTTCTTATAGATAGCTGTACCGTTTTATAACTCATTGTTGTTATTAATCTTTTGTTTTGGTTTTGTTTTTGGGTTTTTTGTTTGTTCGTTGGTTGGTTTTTTTGGGTTTTGTTTTTTTTTGTTTTTGTTTTTGTTTTTTTTGAGACAAAGTTTTTCTGTGTAGCCCTGGCTGTTCTAGAACTCACTATGTAGACTAGGCTGGCCTCAAAGTTGGATATCCACCTGCCTCTGCCTCCCAAGTAAAGTGCTGGGATTAAAGGTGTGAGCCATCCCTGCCTGGCTATTGTTATTAATCTTTTATACTGCCCAGTTCCTAAATTAAACTTCACCACAGATTCATATGTATAGAAGAAAGCACTTATAGAGAGGGTCTGCCATTTTGGGTGTTCACAGGGGTGTCCCCTCATCCTCAGAACATGTTCCCTGAGGATGAGGGGACTACATTTATTTCAGCAGAGAGAGAAAAGGAGAGGGAGGGAGAGGGGGGGACTGGTAATACATTCTAACCCATTCTCCCCTAAATCTCACCCTTTGCTGGCTTTGATTCCAGTTCCCATGTTTGAACAGCTCCAAATCCTTGCCCTTCATGGCTGAGGTGTTTTCTCTCTATAATTACATTATTATTCCGGACACCGTCGGAATGCTCGTCACAGAGGAAGGAGGATTAGGCCGGGCGGCTGCTGTTAGTGCAGCCAGGCAGCGGCCCTGCGCCTGGCAAGGGAGATTGTGCCTCTGGAAGCCAGGCTCCCGGCTGAGCCGGCTTCATTTAATTAGTCTCCTGTCTCTTCTCCCTGCGAGACAGTGGCAGAATCCAGGACGAGCCCCCTTAATGATTGCAGATGCTTCTAATGACATTTCGTCATCGCTCATTTTAAGCAAATCAGAAAATTGTCAAAACCGCTCCAGTCTGGGGAAATAACTTTGAAAAGCACCTGTCTCTCGGGGGAGTGAGGTGGCAGAATGCATCTCCTCAAGTCTCTCCAGCGCGAGCCTCTGTTGGCTGTGTGCTCTGATGCCGGAACAGTTGAATGCTCTTGGAACTGAAGGCCTTAGTTCCTTCATCAGACTCAGTAAATTCCCATGCTGATCACAACCAAGAGTCAATGTCTAAAACGGTTATGGTTTAATTAATTGGTAATAGATCGTAGGTAATGTCAGGCCAAAGAGAAAAGGGTCAAGTGTTGCTTTGTGAGCCAGCCTCTGCAGAAAGCATAGCGCGGCCATGCTGTCTCCTACTGGAATGAGTTACAGGTGACCCAGTTAACGACACAGGAGTGTGAGGTTTGGGGAGGGGCATTCATTCTTAAACAGCTGGGTCCGGGGAAAACTCCTGACGTTCCTCCTGCGATCTTACAGCACACTATAGAAACTCTCCAATGCCTACCTTGTTGTTGTTCGGTAGGAAAAAGAAGAGAGACAGTGGTTCCTAAGCTGAAGAGTAGACTAAGTCTCAGATAGAGAAACAGGGTACCATGAGGGAGGAAGGGCTGGCCCTTGCCACGGGCTAACAGCACCCTTGCTTGGAACCTTGCTCAGAACGAAGTTCTTCCTGGAACTGGGCACGTGCGTGCGTGCGTGCGTGCGTGCGTGCGTGCGTGCGTGCGTGCGTGCGTGCGTGCGTGCGTGCAATGACTGTGGAGGAAGTTACGCTCCCTGCCCTTCCCCACCAGGGAAGCCCAGCTGGAGTCTCATTCCTGCTACCCTACCCTAGGCGTGCGTGCGTGTGTCTTCCTTGCCTAGATTGGCTACAGGGAGCAGGAGGCCCCACAGCCACACCCTCTTTGAGCAACCTTCCCCGCCAAGACACATAGCTAGCTAGCCCAGGGTAGGGTCCCCGCTTGGACTCCTCACTTCCTTCAGCATCCTAGTGCTGAGGATATGTTGAGCTTCCATTCTAGCCGAAAATGCAAAAGGAATCCCTCCCCACGCAGCCCTGTGTGCAGCTCCTGGTCTAAAGCCCCTCGTCTAGACCATGGTCTTACGATTATCTAGCATTGGCTGGATACACTGTAATTAATGTTGAGGAATGAATTCATTAACTGAGCTCAGAAACCTTCATCCGTTAAGTGGGGAATAGCTCGGCTCTTTGGGGACAAGAGAGGCGGCAGAGGAACAGCAAGTGCCCACGAGTGGGAAGCTACCCGCTGTGTTGCTGGTGGTAGCGGCAGCTCTGCCTTCTTGCCGTGTTTCCTCGGACAAGAAAGCATGCGATCTCAGCAGCAGCATTAGCTGAAGCACCCTGGCCAGACTGCGTCTCCTCCTTGGTGATGCCAGAAGCCTGGCCAAGCCTGGTGACCACTTCTGCCCCCCCTAGCTTAAGCACTTGAGTCCCTGCTGCTGTCTGTAGAAGCTGTGGGGTACGTCGTTAGCTTCCGCCCGAGAGGTGTTGTGTCTGGGTGGTGTATTAGTTACTTTTCCGTTGCTGTGATTAAAAACGCTTTGATCAAGGCAACTTACAGGAGGAAGAGTTTATTCGGACTTGGAGATCCAGAGGTTTAGAGTCCGTCATGGAGCCGGGATATGATGGTGCACACTTCATTTCCAGCCCCCTCAGAAGGCGGAGGCGGGAGGCAGACCTCTGTGAGTGGGAGGCCAGCCTGGTCTACATAGTGAGCAGCAGCAGGCACGGTGGTGGGAACAGAAGGTTTACACACATCTTCGAACACAAGCATGAAGCGGAGAGGGTAATTGGGAAGTGGCTCGGGGCTTTTCATCTCAAAGCCCTCCCCTAGTGACATACTTCTTCCAGCAAAGCTGCACCCTCCAAACTTCCCCTAATGGCACCCATCAACTGGGGACCTAGTGTTCAAATGCCTGAGACTGGGGGGGGGGGAGGGGCATTCTCATTCAAATCACTGATTATACCAAAAAGCCTATAACAATTCACTCATACAGTTTCTATCTCCTATCCCTGGAGGCTTGGAAATCCAGGATCAGGGTGACGGGAGACGCCGTGCCTGATGGGGGCCTGCTTTCTCATATGCAGACAGCATCTTCTTGCAGTGACCTCACATGGAGAAGGGGATAGGAATCTCTTATGAGAGTGCTAATCCGGGCCCTCAAAACTTGACTCACTTCTTGGTTCCCATCACCTTAGAATTGGTGCTGTCATAAATTCACGGACATTCAGCCATAGTGCCGGTAATGCAGCGGACTCTCTTTAGTGGAAGATGAAAACAATCCTGAATCAGAGTGTAGACCGTGGTGGTGGGTGTGCAACCGTGTAAGAATAAGAACCATCGAATTCTGCGCTCCCAGAGGCTTGGCCTTGTGTCCTGTGAACTATGTGTCTATCAAGAATATAGGAGGTGACTCAGTCTTAAAGCATGAGGATGGGAGTTTGGATCCCCAGGTGGGTGAGGCGGTCCACCTCTCATCCCAGCTTCTGAAGGCAGAGATGGGACTAGCCATGTTGGCTAAACGCCGAATTGTCCAATAAGGAAGGGACTGTGCCTCGGTGAACAATGTGGAAGAGAGAACAGCGATAATTCCTGATGTCAACTTCAAGGCTCCACACACATGCATGCTTACCTGCACACACATGTGGCCACACACAGGCATACAGACACATCACACATATATGGAAATGGGAAGAGAATAAAATACAGAGCGCTCTGGGGACCAACAGGGAAGTGCATAGATGCAGCGCACATAGGATGGCAGTTATGTGGCATGGCAGGGGGATGTGACCTTGCATGTCAGGAAATGATCTTTGGCGGGGGCGGAGTGTGCCGAAACACCCAGTTGGTCAAATAAATGTCTTGACATTGTCCTATGAGTCAGCAAAAATGTTCTAAATCGGTGAAGAGTGGTCCACGGTGAGACACCTCTGCTGGGCGACATCGTGATGGTCTCTGTTCTCCTGGGGCCTTTCTGTTGACATTGTTGGAAGTGATAGGCCGGCGTGTCCTATTTTCACAAGGCACCGAGTTGGAATTTTTAGAATGCCAAGGGACAGAGAAGAGTCAGAGGGCCCTTGGCTGTCACCCATCTTTAGTCTCTGTCTAAGACAAGGATAAATGGACTCTTGTCCCTCCCTTCCCAGTGAATTCTGTCTCAGAGCAGGGCAGGCTCCCCTCCCCCGTCCAGCTGTTTCTAGGGAAAGTCTGAAACTCACAACCCAGTCTTACTGGCCCCTCCTTGTGCCAACCATCAGAGGGGACTTTCGTCTGACCTCCAGTGAGCAGCTGGTGGGGACCCCCCAGCTCCCGACCCATCACAGCCCCCTTTCTGACCTCATGTTAGAAGCAGGCCAGCAGACTTTCCTGTTCTGGGAAAACCCAGAAAGACCCAGCAGGCGAGGCTTCTTGGGGGTCTGTAGAGACTTGTGGAATTGGTCTCTAGTTTTGTGTCCTTGTGCCCTAAATTAAAAAAAAAAAAAAAAAAAAAAAATCTACAAGTTGCCAGACAGTCTTTACATTCATGAAGCATCTGGCCGGATGTCTCCCAGAACGAATGGAAGAATTAATCATCCGAATGTCAGTCCTGGGGCTGGGGATGTGGCTCAGTTTGCAGAAGGCTTGTCTAGCATGCACAAGGCCCTGGATTCAGTCCCTTAGCGCCATAGAAAACCAGACATGGGCTGCCTGCCTATAATCTTGTCGCCTATGAGATGCTGACAGGAAGATGAGAAATTCAGGGATATCCTTGGCTACATAGTGAGTTTGAATGTGGCCTAGGATATATTAGATCCTGGCTCAAAAACAAACCAAAAAAAACCCCAGAGCTAGAAGGGTCCCCAAGGTTTCCATGCTCCCTGCACATTGACAAGGCCTGCCACAAAGGAAATCCATTCCATACTCCACACCCACCCGGGCAGTGTGACTGGGAGTATTTTCAAAAGCTTTTATGTCAACAACCATTTTAACACTGGGCAGGCTTGGTCTTTGGATGTACAGATTTGCCATGAACCTACAGGGTTTCGATACTAAATTCACAATGTCCACCTTCAGTGGTGCGGGGTTTGGGTCATTCTGTGCTGTTTATACCCCAGCGTCAATGGTTTATGTCTGTTTCCTGAGCTGTGGCCTCTCAGAGCAGAGCCCAGCCTTCCTTTAGAGAGCCAGATCCCGGGGCTGGAGAGACGTCTCAGCAGTGAAGAGCACTAGCGTGTGGAGGCCGGGGACTGGTGTTGGGTGTTTTCCTCAATCACTCTTCACTTAGGTATTTGTTTGTTATAACCGTGGCTTGTGATAGTTCTTAAGTTACGTTTATTTATTGTGTGTGTGTTTTTGTGCAAGCATGCACGTGCCATTGCTATGTGCGGAGGACACAGGACAGTCTGTGGGAGTTGGTTCTCTCCTTTCACCAGGTGGGAGGGACCCAGAGGTCGAGTTCAGGTTGTCAGGTTTGGCAGCAAGCACCTTGATCCACTGATCCGTCTCGCTGGCCCTCTTCACTTTATTGAGGCGACTGAATCCGGAACTCACTGACTCAGCCCATCTGCCTAGCCGGCTTGTCCCGGGGAGTCTGGCTCGGCCTCCCCAGTACTGGAATTACAGAAGGGCTGCCATACCCACCCAGCAGGGTTTTTATGTGCTTGCTGGAGAAATGAACTCTTGTTCCTTACGCTTGCACAGCAAGCACTTTATCTACAGAGCCATCCCCCTGCCCCGTGCAAAATCTTTAATGGTGGAGAATGGGAAACAAATGAAGTGTCCAGTCTGAGGGGACAAGTGCATCCAGTTGTTAGGCTACAACACACTCTGACAGTGCTTCCAACGTGTGTTTAATAACAGGATCGCCTCTTGACAACTGATAGAGGAGGAAAGCTACCTCTGGACCCCTGGTTAGGTCCTCGGGTTCCAGACACAGGCATGGAAACAAGATAATAAAGAAGAGCATGAAGCCATAACTCCACTGGATGGTGGAGTTATGGGAGTGCTCCTTAATTACATTCCACGTTTCTTTGAGTTAATTGTAAATTTCACATGCAGTTATAGGGAGTAAGACTTACAGGGGCGTCCTGTATGTCTTCCCCTCTGTTTCCTGCAGGGAATTTTTATTTTTCCCTTTGTGCTTCTTCCCTGCCACAT